TCCAGCGGGCCGGAGCCCCACCCCCGGCCCCACCCCTGACCCCGCCCACACACTTGTCCCGCCCACTTCGTCCGCGGTCCAGCGATCCGCCCAGATGCAGACTCATGCCGTTACTCAGCGTGCTGCTGCTGCAACGACTGCCGTACTTGATCTCCTGGAAATCGTCATAATGCGCCGTGAGCGAGTACGTTTTCTCCATGCTGACCGACGTCTGCGCCCGAGATTTGTTGGGGAAGGTGTGGAACATGATCTGGGATCAAAATAAGGTCATGACCTTTGACCCTTTCAACTCTTGGGTCAGACTGTATCCAAAGGCTTTTTATGTCCTTGGTTTTTCAATCGGTTTTCTTTCTCAGTATGACCTGCTGTGAGAGAGATGCAATTAATTAATTGCTTGATGTAGTGTGGAAAATATTTACATGTTTACATATTTACAACAAAACAAGATACATTTAATGAAAAATTGCAAATCCAATCATGTGTGAACAAAGGAAACAGTGACTTATAAAACACCAATTATTTATTTTAGTTCATTAGAGTCTGTGATACATTGCAAATATAGTCATTATTGCAGTATTTAGACATATAGGACCATATGGAAAACTTTTTTACAAATGTAATTCTATTTATTTTAAAATAATTATTTGCAAGGAAATAAATATATTTTTAAAGATCCTTCCCTGCTGAAATTAGCAAAGCAACACCACATGATAGATAGATAGATAGATAGATAGATAGATAGATAGACAGATAGATAGACAGATAGATAGACAGATAGATAGATAGATAGATAGATAGTTTATTTATAATGAAAGATAAATATTTTTAATGTTTAACTACAAATTGCATTTTTTTTTTTCACAAATTCATTTTTTTTTTCGGGATTCCATGCTTCTCATTTCAATTTTCTAGATTCTGTTTTAATGGTTAAATTAAATGTTAGTAATTAAAAGAATGTCTAATATCCTTAATTAACTTATACAGTTTAACATGATTTTATCAAAGGTTTTAAAAAAAAAATTACAATATCAGTGCCCTATGAAATCAGTTTTTCTGGATTCTGTTTTAGTGATTTAACAAAGTTTTAATAAATCAAAAAGCATATCTAATCAATTGAATTCATGAAACATTTTAATAATTTATCAGAACTTTTACAGTAATATGGCCCTATGACCCCTGTGTTGTTAGTTTTACTGCTTCTGTATTTATGATTTAATACAAATCAACCATCAAAAACAGTGGTAATCAACTAAACGCATAAAACATTATCAATTTAGTTAACTCTTTAAAATTTGCTCAAATTAAAATTTAACAATGAATTAATAATCCTTTTATTTTTTTGTCAATTTTCCATGTCATGGAAGTTGTTTACGCAGAGCAACTTAAATTTCATCAATGTACATATTATCAGTTCATGCATTTCCTGTGAATCGAACCAACGACCTTGTGCAAACTAAATGAACGTGCAATATAACTCAGCCTTATTGCTTTTATAAAATGTTTTCTGTTTCACGTCACAGATGCCATTATATCGTTGTGTCCAATGTTGTGGAAACGTTGGAATGACCAATCAGCATTCAAACCCATCACTATCTGTTTCAGAAGTCCTGATTAAAAAGCTTAATTAAAAACGGATCTGTCTTTTATGACAAGTCTCGCTTCTTAGTTCTTTTATTTGGCTTCCTAAAGTTGTTTAGATTGATTTCAGACACTCGAGCATCAGAGAAACACTGGCCAATGACTCAAAGGCCTGGATCGATCCGAGAGAGAGACAGAGAGAGACAGAGAGAGAGAGAGACTCCGGGGAGCAGCGATTGATGGATGGAGAGAGGTGGAGAGTTGATGTGACTTGAGTGGGTAAGAAGAGAGTGAGGCTTAGCCACACTCACACACACACACACACACACGCTACCCATCAACCACACGCCGGTAAACTGCGTCAAGACTGCCAGACAAAGCTCACCTCCTGCAGAGCAACAAACCTGCTACTGGCTAATGGAGCACAACACACACACACACACTCAGTCTGATCTCTGTCTGTGTTCACACTCACAAAACGTATATACGCAAATATCAAGCGTAGCGTTAGTTCTGGCAGGTCAAGCTTGCATCAGCTGACTCTCAGCTGATCCCCATCTACCTATAGGAATGCGACACCTATCTAAGCATTCATACATAAGGTCCCTCAGTAGTATCAGCAGTTTTTGCATTGCTCAATAGCTAATTACCCTCCTCCATCCCCAGCTCCTCCTCTGTCAGTCAGGATTCAGTCTTTTGATTATCCTTTGAATCAGACTAATTCTAAAATGTGTACATAAAATTATTGAACTTTAATGATATCTGCAATACATTTATGTTGGTTCTGTCCTGTTTACCCTGGGGGGGTTATCGCTGCTCTCCCTGCTTTCATCCATGCTAGGCTGCATGGATGCACAGGGAGTTCTTGCCCAGAACAGAACCATACCGCCAATCCAAACTGTATGCTAATTGTCAATCATCTTTGACGATAGTGGTCCTGACAGAAATATGAATGAAAACAATTCTAGCTAGACAAGCTCAATTTCATGTGTCACTGTGTTCTGAAATGTATCAGACGATGGAAACCCTGGGATAAAAAAAGATATTTTTCTCGGAATTCTGAGTTTACATCTCACAATTCTTTTTTTTGTTGTTGTTGTTTTTGTTTTTTTGCTTCCACCATAAAATAAAAACTAAAAAAGATCATTGCGACCTTTTAATTGCACAATTCTGCTGTTTTTCTTAGAATTGTGAGTTTATGTCCCACAATTCTGAGATTATATGTTGCAATTATGAGTTTGTCACAATTTTGAGTTTATATTGCAATTCTGAGTTTATGACGCAATTTTGAGTTTATATGTCCTAATTATGAATTTATATGTCGTAATTTTGAGTTTATATATCATAATTCTGAATTGATATTGCAATTCTGAGTTTATGACGCAATTTTGAGTTTATATGTCCTAATTATGAGTTTATATTGCAATTCTGAGTTTGTCACAATTCTGAGTTTGTCACAATTCTGAGTTTATATGTCGTAATTATGAGTTTGTCACAATTTTGAGTTTATATTGCAATTCTGAGTTTATATCCCACAATTCTGAGTTTATATCCCACAATTCTGAGTTTATATCCCACAATTCTGAGTTTATATCCCACAATTCTGAGTTTATATCCCACAATTCTGAGTTTATATCCCACAATTCTGAGTTTATATCCCACAATTCTGAGTTTATATCCCACAATTCTGAGTTTATATCCCACAATTCTGAGTTTATATCCCACAATTCTGAGTTTATATGTCACAATTCTGAGATTATATGTTGCAATTATGAGTTTGTCACAATTTTGAGTTTATATTGCAATTCTGAGTTTATATCCCACAATTCTGAGTTTATATCCCGCAATTATGAATTTTTATCCTTTATGTCGCAATTCTGATTTTTTTATTTTTTATTTTTCGCAATTCTGAGTTTGTCGTAATTTTGAGTTTATATCTCGTAATTTTTAATTTAAATTGCAATTCCGAGTTTGTCACAATTCTGAGTTTATATGTCGCAATTTTGAGTTTATGTCCCACAATTCTGAGTTTATGTCCCAATTCTGAGTTTATGTCCCACAATTCTGAGTTTCTACGTCCTAATTATGAGTTTATATTGCAATTCTGAGTTTGTCACAATTCTGAGTTTGTCACAATTCTGAGTTTATATGTCGTAATTATGAGTTTGTCACAATTTTGAGTTTTATTGCAATTCTGAGTTTATGACGCAATTTTGAGTTCATATGTCCTAATTATGAGTTTGTCACAATTTTGAGTTTATATTGCAATTCTGAGTTTATATCCCACAATTCTGAGTTTATATCCCACAATTCTGAGTTTATATGTCACAATTCTGAGATTATATGTTGCAATTATGAGTTTGTCACAATTTTGAGTTTATATTGCAATTCTGAGTTTGACGCAATTTTGAGTTTATATTGCAATTCTGAGTGTATGTCACACAATTCTGAGTTTAAACGTCACAATTCTGAGATTATATGTTGCAATTATGAGTTTGTCACAATTTTGAGTTTATATTGCAATTCTGAGTTTATGACGCAATTTTCAGTTTATATGTCCTAATTATGAGTTTATATGTCGTAATTTTGAGTCTATATGTCATAATTTTGAGTTTATATTGCAATTCTGAGTTTGTATGTTGCAATTAAGAGTTTGTCACAATTTTGAGTTTATATTGCAATTCTGAGTTTATGACGCAATTTTGAGTTTATGTCCCACAATTCTGAGTTTATGTCACAATTCTGAGTTTATGTCCCACAATTCTGAGTTTATGTCCCACAATTCTGAGTTTCTACGTCACAATTCTGAGTTTATTTCACAATTCTGAGTTTATGTCACAATTCTGAGTTTGTCACAATTCTGAGTTTATGTCCCACAATTCTGAGTTTATGTCACAATTCTGAGTTTATGTCCCACAATTCTGAGTTTATGTCCCACAATTCTGAGTTTCTACGTCACAATTCTGAGTTTATTTCACAATTCTGAGTTTATGTCACAATTCTGAGTTTATGTCCCACAATTCTGAGTTTCTACGTCACAATTCTGAGTTTATGTCACAATTCTGAGTTTATGTCCCACAATTCTGAGTTTCTACGTCACAATTCTGAGATTATATGTTGCAATTATGAGTGTCACAGTTTTGAGTTTATATTGCAATTCTGAGTTTATATCTCACAATTCTGAGTTTATATGTCGCAATTCTGATTTTTTTATTTTTTGCAATTCTGAGTTTGTCGTAATTTTGAGTTTATATCTCGTAATTTTTAATTTAAATTGCAATTCCGAGTTTGTCACAATTCTGAGTTTATATGTCGCAATTTTGAGTTTATG